TTAAATAGTATCAGTTTTAATGAGGCTAATAAATTACTTTTCTACTTGTTATGTCGAATTTCCTATTTGATTTTAAATTCCTATTTTAGTTTATAGTTTAAAAAAATCAATCTGAATAAGTAGGACAAGAGAGTAAGTGAGTGAGGAAATCAATTTCAGAAATCTCTTTTGAAATTTAAATCAATACCATAATTCATATTACAATCACCCAGAAAGTAAGTTTCTGATGTTTTTAGTAGATTATAAATAAAAATCGTGGAAATGATCAAAAGTTTTGCATAGTTTGATTTGCATCTGGCGTTAATTTAATACGAATCGGCAAAAATCGAGCTTAGTATGGAGAAATAGGAAATTACGGGACTGTCAGTCGCAGGCTCCAGTCCCGCCGAGACGTATAATGTTATTCCGAAAGGTTATGACTCGTTGCCAAAGTCGCGCGGCTACTTCGCACCTCAATAACTCCCATTGCATCCAGACATCTCGCCGTCGCGCCCTCGCGCCCGCGCGTCGTCGCGCCGCTCTCATTATACATGTAATATTTTTTTAACTTATGAAATAACATTACTGCCTTTTTAGAAATTCTGGTTTACGTGAAAGAAGGTATGTGTAAGAAGGAGTGAATTCAGATATGAAAGCAAGATGTGCCCTACCTCATTAAGGAAAGGAATACCATAGGGATACTTCTAAGTATGTATATAGGTATACACTTAGTTATGAGAAAACATGGTTAACGAAAAAAATTTAGTTTTTGATTTGCATTTTTAGTAGGAAACTATTCGAATTGATATATTAAATAAAACGTTTTCAATATTCTGTGTCGCAACGTGTACTGTTTACTGTAACGATATAAAATTAACATCGGTGTTCTGTAAAAGGAAATCAATGAAACGTAAAATCGCTAATTAAACTGTTACCAGGACTTCGCTTTGGTAATAATATATTATCTGTATAATTGAATACACGAACCAATTAGTGAAAAACTGTTACTGAATTTGTTGTGCTTTTGAAACATAATATTATGGTTCAATTATTTTAAAGAATCGAACGTATGGTTGCGTCTACAAAGGAAAAGGCTTTAATTATAAATATGGCAACATTTGATATATTAAATCCAGTTATTAAAACAAGCACTTATAAACTTGGTCTATGATAACTCGTCTCGTCTGATACTGGTTTTATTCCCTTATTTTAGTACACGAGCAACGCAACGAACGATCGCATCGGATTTAATAAAATTACTAAGGGAATCTTCTCTAACCTTGTTTACCGATCATATATGAACTAGAAAAAGTGTACAAACTAACAATCTCCGGGCTTGTTATTAAAAGTTACGCTTATTATGAAGATATTATATTATTCATTGTAGTTAGTAGACGTCGGACAAACATACCAATAAATAATTTTTAAAACGCGCAGAAAAGCAAAGCTCTTTGTACTTTTCTCAATACGCTTAGAAAGGATCGCGGAATCTTACTACGCTTGCTTACTCTTTGATCTTTCTCAAATGGTCACACACACATTTACACCTATCCTTAGACGAACTTTTTAAATAAATTTTTCTTTTGAAATCGAATCAAACGTATTCCAAGGATGTTTTCAGATAGTATCCAATATGTTGATTTTCTGCACATTATTTGTTTTTAACAACCACGAGAGGGTGATTTAATAACTATTATATTTTCACAGTTATATGCTTATATCGTAGATATCAAAATGAAATATTCGAATATATTTGAAACTTAACTATCTAATGTAGAAATAAATAATTCACAAGCACCACTAAATTTAACTAAATGTAACTTTGAAGATGGTAGACAAGTGGAATGCTATATTTGTGATTAACAGTATTGAAAAAGTAATACATTTAAGACTGTCTAGAAAATTTGTCGATCGATTGTTTATTTATGAATTGGCATATTTCCGAAACTGTGGGTGTCTACCGTTGAAACACGAGGGAAATAAGATAAGATATGTAATTGAACGGGTTTTTGAGTCATAAAACTGACGTAAAACGTGTATGTTTATAATAACTGGCTACGATTGTAACGCCATTGACCAATGTTTTGTTATAAACTATATTACAAGTTAATATTTTTAATTTGACAGCGAAAACGAGTTTTTAAAGCACTTATTTTCTCTCAAGAACTTGCAACAGTCTTCACGACGCGACGAATTTTCTTGTTCCCGCTATAGAGAAATTAAAAGCTGCAACCGACTATTTAAGCTCCTTGATTTTTTTTTTCCTTAATGAGCCTTGCTCTTAAATTTAATTTTCTACTGTAAAATAATGTGATTATTAAAGACATTTTACTGTTAAGTCATAATTTTTTTTATGTCATAAGGTGGCAAACGAGCAAGCGGCCACCTGAATCTGCCCATAGACATTCGCAAGAGCGGATGCGTTGACTACCCTTGTTCGACGGAGGAGGAGACGCACATAAAGAGGATATTTCCCCTTTCTATGCGTGTCCTGCACCGTCAAATCCATGTACCCTTCCTATTCTGTTCGTATTCAAAAAGGATGGAAAGGTAAAGTGACTAAAGCTGGACATCCGGCACCAGACTCATCAGACGAAACGGGGAATTGCTCCGACATCATGCCTGTCTTCTGTGTTGTCGCACCGGGCGAGCTGGCCCATTCATGCGATGATGATAAGCTTTACTACTGTTAAAAAGTGATAAAACGACATGATGTTATAATTTTAAAAAAAGTACATTAAAGTGTTCATCGAACTATATCATTTTAATCGTTTTACGCTATAAATGTTACACTTAAATTCAAAAACATTGTTATTGGAATAACGAACAAGTTTCCAGAATGAAATCAAAGACCGATTATGAATTTGGTAATAAAATCATTATCGACAAGCTATTTTATTACGTAAGAATATAGTGACTAAATCCACTCCCTCTAGACTTAGCCTAGATTATTTGCTGGCGACGTCCATGGTACAAATTTCAAATACAAAAGTATATTTCGATTTTGAAATACGAAGCTAGATATTACATTACTAGTTGCGTCTTATGATATCAAATTTTTAATGACACGTGCAAGCCTTACACGGTCAACAATAAAGAAAATACGATATTGCTTTCTTGGCATTTGATATATGAAACTATGGTTATGGCAATAACAGGAAATTAAGCCTTGTATTACGAAAGTTATTTGCTTAACTAAATTGCAATAAATATGTTTTACCATTTTTATTGAGAAATCGAAAATGTTTGTAATGCCGCACGGGTGCGTTACGATTTAATCGTCGCGAAAATTCAATTTGTGAGTGTATAAAAGCTCCCAAGAACATCACGAAACCAATATGTGTATTACATCGCAGATACTTGTAACTGCGGCGCTGTATTCAGTACAAAATACCTTACCTCATCTTCTTTTTTCAAGTAGAGTGTACCTACTACAACTAGTCGCTATCAGTGCAGTATAAGAAGTTTATAAGTAACTAGCTTTTGCTCACACTTCATCCGCATAGAATTGAAAAAAAAAACAAAAGCATGTAGCCTACTTTGTGTTCGAAACTATGTTCTACATCTATGCCAAATTTCATCCAGATCCGTTCAGCCGTTTACGCTACAAACTCTAACAAACATCCATCCATCTAAACTTTCGCATTTACAATATTAGTATTAGTATGATTTAAAACACAAACTATACTATCAACGGTAAGAGGCAACTAAATCGATCGGTGGAGGTAAACTCGCGACTGACGTATTCCCTGACGTTAACGATGCCCATAGAAATTATTGTATTACGGTTGACGGCGGACCTGACAAGAATTTTATTCCTGGTAGATAGAAATGCAAGAGCTAGATATTCTGTTTCACCTTTTCTCTACAGTTTCGGGGAATCCGCAACTCACTTTGGGAAAGCCTAACTGGTTCGGTGCACCCTTCAGGAGACAATGTGAAATATAATTACCCCGCAGGTCAATGTAGGTCCGTTAGCGACATATGGTACATTGTAGTATAATATTTCACTCTTCTAAATTACTACTCATACATAATTAATATAAAACCGTAAATAATATAAAACATCTTATTTAAGTGTCATGTTATAGTTTATCTAAATAAGAGAGATTAATTTAATAAAAAGCACGGATATGTATGAAGTATCGAATTCAATTTGTATGAAGGCAAATGCCGTACTTAATAGACATGTATCGTAGTGACGAAACAAACACGCATAGCGAAGGATTACGAACTATCGATATTCGGTTTAAATATTTATCGAACTCAACTAAAATTATCATTTTCTTATTAACTTATTTATAGGACAATTCTAATATTGATTATAGTCTAGAGGATTTAGCGATGACAGAAATAATAGGTAAAAACAATTCGATTACGTACGACTGTAGTGGTAATAAACATTTATTTACTCTCATTATTTGTTAATGGTTCTGCAGGCCATTATTGATTTAAGAAAACAGTGTTTTTTTAATTCATTAGTTATGACTATGAATCTCTCGATTCCAACTTCTATAAGAGTAAAAATCGAAAATCATGACTGATTTTACACAACCCATCCCTACTAAATTTCAAATGAATTGTCAAACTAACTTTTTTTATTTAGACAAGCTATAATTGTGAAAATATTAAAAACTAGCTGTTGCTCGCGTCTTCGCTCGCGTGATATTCAAAGATAATGAAAAAGTAGCTAATGTTACACACTCATAACGTAGCTTTTTAATGGTGAAATATTTATGAAATCGGCCCAGTAGTTTTAATACAAATAAAAATCCAAAAATCCAAATCTTGCCTCTTTAAAATAGTAGTATAGATATAGATATAGTAGTATAGATTATCGTGGAAATTTCTAAAGAAGCCTCAATAGAGCGGTATCAGTAACTAAATGTAAAACCTGCTCACGTACATAAGCCGTGTGCATCTACAATGTGTGCCTGAAAAACACGCTCACACGGGATTCGGGCTTCTCTGGACAACTGTTGATCATGCACATCTGCATCGCACCGCCGAGTGTATTAAGGTAGGGCGGCCCCGCGATCACTCATTCCCGCACTGGACACGGTTTGGAGCGGTCGCGCGCGCAGTGTTTCACTCTCGCCCGCGGCTTTCAACTTGCACGAAAATGAAGTGCTCGAACGTTGGTGTTTTATTTTTTATGAACTTTATAATTTTAATTACCGTGAATGAGGCCAAGATAAACGTGAAGCAGCAGCTGCAGGCCATGGCAGACCAGATCGAGACCATGAAGGCAAACCATTTCAACGACGTCGCCCGTCTTCAGGAAGAGATTGACGAACTCAAGTAAGTTTACTTATTTTTAAGATGTTAGTTAATTTGTGTGTTGGATTTTTGACAATTAGATAATTATGTAAATGTAGATAATTATACGACAAAATATACAAATTGATTATGAAACTATAGACACCTAACTTTTGCTGGGCTTGTAATAATTTAATTTAAAAAAGCTGTGCGCATTATTTTTATTTCAAAAGTTTTTAATTAATGAAATTGCAGCGAAATTTTAGCAAGCCCCTGCGAGGTTCATTATTTTTTATTCTTTTTAGAATAAATCCAACATTCAAAGATTTCTGATTTTTTTCAATCTTAAATTGCAAATGTTTATTTTACTTTTTCTCATAACATATTTATTCTGTTTAATCGTTGTACAGGTTAATAGTAATATAGTACCTTAAGTTTGTATTTAACAAGTAACATTCGGAAATAAATTAACAAATACAGCGCACATTTTGAAAATGTTCGCGCTCCGACTCCGACGGTCCGTCGGGAGTTTTACGAAGTAACAAATCAAAATATTGTTTCTTCAAATTGTATATTTTCATTAAATATAAATTAGTTTTGGCGAAACTGATTTTCTTTTACCATTATTTATTATTTCCTACGCGATATCAATAAAACTAATTAAGTTGAGAAAAGTTCTACTCGATATGATTTATTTTTTGTGCTGCAAAACGAAAGCTTTCAGAAATGACAAATCAAAGTACACCCTTTTCTTTAGACAATGATGGTTTTTTTAAAAGATGTAACAGTTTTTTTAAAGTATCATCGTGTAATTTACCCGCTGAAGAGTGTAACTTTTAGTCCACATTTCTAAGTTTTAATCCTTTCTAATGAAAAATTTAATGAGAAAAAATTGTTTTCGGATCTAGTTACTCGGAAAAACGATTGATGACAAAGAAAATCTTTATCGTTAATTATAAAATAGACGCGATTATTGTTACTTTTGAAATTTATAACTGCATCGTTGTAGCGTTAACATGAAAATGTTTTTCAATTTGCTTCTTTTCCTTGTCTGATTACAAAATCAATAAATTAATTAAAAATGGATTAATGTTATTAAAATAAACATTTTACAAAATGTTACATATGATAACATTAACCACGGTTTTTCAATCATTTCAAAATATAAAATTTCAACATCCAGAATGTCCGGGACGATTTTTAACCCGATAAAGTCGCATTAAGGTTTTAACGAACGTTTGTTTTCGCCAGTATTTTTGCATACAAATTTAATTTTATTGCACACATGAAGTCCCATTCATCCAAGTTTCGTGCCAACCGTTGACGATTATTGCGTTTATTCAAAAATAATTATCGAAAAACGTAATTATATAAATCGAACGAATTGCGAAGCTCCTTTTTATGGAAGTCGGTTAAAAAAGAATGCGGTAATTCCACCTTTTTTCGTATCGAAACGATACATCGGAAAGATACACTGCTTTTTGGGGGAAAGACAGGGTTTTGTGAGATTTCTACTCATTAAAAACAGCGCGATGGCACAAGTGCGACTAGTGCAAAGGGTCCCGGGTTCTCTAATAGAACGCACGGAGAGCGGTAATTCTAACTTCATTAAGTTAAAAAACTCAGCCGTTTTTTAAACTACATTTTGCAAAACTCGTGGAATTCAAATGTTGAATATGATTCTATTTAGTGATTGTTTACCTGCCGATACCAGCGTCGTTGTCCCCAGCGTTTAATTCTGATTGGGCGTACGATAAAGACATGTTTTAGAGCCTGTTTCCTTTGTAACTTACAGCATTATAATGTTCTTTTTATAGTTCCAGCAACTCTGCATTGAATATCTTATATCAATAAGTTAGGTTTTGATTTAATACTTTACTACTTTTGAGGTATTACATTTTATAACAATGACTACTTGTTTATTTTGTTTTAACAAATATGGTTAATGTTATATTTTTAGAGAAGGTACATAGATCTGGTACTTTTATGCAAATTTTATGTCTTTGACAGATTATTCGATTATTTGATGCGTTGTTTGACACTCTACAAGAGTGATCTTTAATGAAAACTTACCGAATAAATATAAAAAAAAAATAGTTTAACGGGAGTTTGTGACTATGCTTTTACATAGCATGTTTAAAATTGAGTAAGTTCCCAACTCAATATGTTAGCTGTTTGACGCTTTTGTCGATACATACGAGATGTTGGTCGCAGTAGTGGCTTAGTGTACGTCGTTCGACGTCGCTCTGAAGCCGCACAAGACGTGTCATAATTTAAAGTTGGGTGTCAGAAACGCTTTGAGGCGAAACAAGAGCCACTCAGGAATCGGGCCGTATCGACGGAACATTTCATCCCTTGTTTTCTCGAATTTATCTGGTATAGTTATATATTAGTACATCGTAAACAATTGAACTACAGAAAATACATTTTTAAAATTCCATGAATCTTTGTAGTCTGGGTTCAAATACTTCGAATTCTTATAGAAACACAAATAGTAGTATCCCGATTTGTTAGTTTAGAAATTCACAAAAACGTTTGCTTTTTTGCTTGCTATTTACAAAGGAAGGGCGATTCCATTCAGTGGACTTAACAAAAGCGTGCCACTGAATTTCTCAAAGGAGAAGTACGATTGCTCAGACTTACCACAAGCTCTGAGTACTATTTTACGGTTCGTTTGTGGATGAAATGCAATTAAATCATCAATAGTAATACTGGGTAATTATCTTAGTGGTTTTTTACACAGATCTCATTTCGAACCACGGGAAGTAAATGTATTTTCTTTATTTTGTATTTTGGTGATTAGTATTTCGTAATTTAATTGCAAACTACAGAATCCGTATCATTAAAAGTGTGTTTTATTTATTTTTGTATGTAATTGTTAATATCTGATTATGACAAGTTTCGAGATTATTTGGGATGGTTACAAGAAATAGTATTCAATACCTTTCAAATAATATTTTAACATTTTAGATTACATAATTGAGAGTCGTAAAAAATTGTTGAAACTAATTAATATAGAGCGTCTGTGGCTCAGCGGTTTAAGCACTTGAATTGTAATCTTGTCTTGGGTTCGAATCCCGCCATGTACCAATGTGATATTCGATTTTTTCGATTTTCATGTGGTAGTGCCCGCTTTAACATCTTAGCACAAATGGGCCGGCACGCCCGGTGTAATACCACGACCACACAGAAGCCAGGCGTGAAATGGAAGCAATTCCGTGTTTCGTCTGATGAGTTTGGTGCCGGAGGCCTAATTTAAGTCCCTTACCACCCTTTTCTCATAACGAGAGGATGGGAAGGGGAAGTGGATTTCACAGTGGAGATGCATAGGAAGGGGAAATATCCTCTTTATGTGCGTCTCCTCCTCCTTCGGATAAGGGTAGGCAACGCATTTGCAATTGTGGATGTCAATGGGCAGCGGTCGCTTCGCCATTTTGACGGATTCAGGTGGTCGCTTGCTCGTTTACCACCATATGATATAAAAAAAAACGAAATTCAAAGATATGTGTGAAGTCAACCAAACCGCACTGGGCCAGCGGTTGACTAAAGCCTAGTCACCCCTTACTTAGGGTAGGTTCTGAGGCGCTCGGTCGGGACGTATAGCGAGCTGGTGATGATGAATTAATGTAAATTTCGTCTAAATGTATGTTAGCGTTAAAAAGTTTGTGTAGTTTTTTCATTATTAAAGGGTCTCAATTATTAAACGGCTGAAGCGTAATTTAATAAAAATATTAAAGTTATAAATATATTTCTCTCTAACTGGAATCCGCTTTTGAACGTCGACGTTGTGCCATTAGAGGTTGGTATTTCTATAATTTTTTAATATTAGGTTATACCTACTTCAATTCACTTAGTTCAAATTTAACTTTGATAAATAAATTATAAAAGACTCGTATGCATTCCTCGTATTTGAGTTTATAAGTTAGGAATTTTGAATTTACTTATAGAATTGTCAAAACGCAGTGGAGTGTTGCTTTTTGGATTGAATTAGGATTTTTTTTTATTATTAGTTCTTTTCTATCTTGGAATGTAAAAATAAAGGAATGTTTTAAAAATAAATCACGATAAAAATAGATCTGCTCAATTAACTTAGTATGTAGATGAACAAAAAACACAGAACAAAGGTAAATCTTGGAAATAGCGCTGTCATTTCATACCAAAATAGCACCGTTGAAAAGATAAGCGTTGAGCTTTTGTGCAAACCACTGGGACTTGTATTAATTCACGCGTATTCATGGCTTAGCCCTACAGCGTATCATTTCGAAAGTTACATTTTGTAAAACAGTCATATGCCACTGCGAGTGCTTCGTGAAACGTTTGTTACTCGACAAACAAATAGAAATGTATAACTTTTTTAATTTAAAGTGTTCTCATATGTTCCCTTGAAACTGGGCTGACGTTTGTTTCATTTTAAACATAAATTTAAATGCTCATAATAATTTTAGTTTTGAGGACTACTTCTAAAATACATCTATCGAATTGAGTTTTTTAATATTCTCTGTTGTTTTTATTATGATCTAGATATCGTCAGTCCTTTAATAATAGAATTACTTTTTTATTTCTATACAAGATTTTACAAAAAATACTATAGTTATTAGTTAGATTTTCGCTCTGAAAATGTTAGCGAGAATTGTTTTTACTAAAGCAAGAAATAATACACTTAAAAAAATATTAGTTCTCTTTTGTTCATAATATTTATCTATATTCAATATTGTCCTCTTAAATATTAAGTATGAAATGTTTTTCCACTTGAATATCTCTGTTGCAGTCTGAAATGCATGAATATGATTCTCGTTAGTAATCCATTAATATACAAGTGGAATGAAGTTGCGTTCCATTCGGGTTCTAAACAGAAATACCTATCGATCACCTAATAATGAAAAATGTAAATGAAACAGTTTTATTAAACTTATTTGATGTTTTGATGGTTAAAATAATACATTACAATGAACCTCACACATTCAGTTTGTGGTGTATGCATTCAATCTATGCTGTGCGATTTTTGACGACATTGTCGGTACAGAAACATTGTAACATCAGTA